ATATATATATATATATGATACATTAGTGTAATTATTAAAGACTGTTCTATAGAAATTGATGTAAAAGTACATGTAAGTAAATTGAATTTGCAAAATGTAATCAATGCAATAATTTGCATTATTTAATTACATTACATCACATGATGGAATATACATTGGATATTCTACCACTTAAAATATTTTTTAAATGTTTGTAGATAAATATATAATAGGCTTTAATCTATACTATTATTATGAGCAATTTGTTACTAACGATTTTGCAAACTATTGAAACTATAATATTGTCTGTTTTTTGTTTCTGTTTTCTAATTAACATTTGTTTTTCTATAGCTACATATTTTCTAAATTACCATCTAGTAAGCAAGTTATAGCCTCAAGTGCTACTTATCCTGGAGATTTAGAAACATTTCTACAAACTTATATGTCTTCTCCAATATTGACATCGCCAAATATTGATGGGCCAATTTTGATTGGAATCAAACAATTTGTGACTGTGGTTCCAGTACATCCCAATGCGATGAAACAGGTTTTTACTTATTTACAAAGATTAATAACGTTTTATTAACAAATAAACTTTGTATAATTTGTTTAATTTTTAGGTACAAATAAAAGTTGATGAGCTAGTAAAAATCTTTACCAAGATTCCATTTAAACAAAGCCTAGTCTTTTCAAATTATCAATCACGGTATGTATTCTTAAATTTGCTATTTTTTATTTTTTAATATTTAATTGGTTTAATTATTCTTTCCTTTATTTTTATTCTTCTAGAGCTCAATCGATTAGCAATAAAATTAATTCTTTGGGTTTCTCATCGACATATATTGTTGGAAATCAAGATATGACTAAAAGATTAGGAGCAATTGAAAAGTTAAGAAATTTGGAATGTAGAATTATGTTGACCACAGATTTAACTGCAAGAGGTATAGATATTGAAAATATTAATATGGTCATCAATTTAGACATACCTACGGATCCAGCAACATATTTACACAGAATTGGCAGAGCTGGTCGCTATGGATCTCATGGAATTTCTATTACAATTGTTTCTGAAAGTGAATTTTCGTCGTTTAGGGAATTATTGACTTTGATCGGTGGACCGAATTTTTATTTGTTTAAGCTCAGTTCTGATTATGCAGAAGATGTTTGGGCTGGTGATACTGCAACATTTGAAAAGATTTATTCAGGACCTGATAAAAATGTCACAAAGGTTCCAGTCATTGATAAAGAAATTCTTAATTCTGAAAATGGTATACCTATAACAATATCTATATCAGAACATATATCTTCAGTAAATAGTGATGCATCATTAAAAAATGTTAAAAATACTTCTACTATAAAACATGAACAAGGTAACAATATTTCACCCAAGAGTACAGCAAGCAATGATATTTTATCATCAGAAGATGTTACTATTACGAGATATGACAAATCTGAAAGTGTTTCACCGAAATATACAGCATCTAATGATATATTATTATCAAAGAAAAATATTGCAAATACTGTTAAAATGAAACATAAAAAATGCAATAGTACTTCACCAAAAAACAAAAAATGTCATAAAAGCATTGATAATATATGTGCAAAATCTAATGAGAAAATAAGTATTAGTTCTTTATGTCAACGTTATGATTGGGACAAATATAATTTTATAATTAATACTTCGAAAGAACATAATAAAGAAGTTATTAACTCAACTATGGAATCTATAGCTAACATTTCAGAAGAGAGTAAAGTATCAATTATAGATGCGCCTGATGATTTTGATGATGTTTCTTTCATAGAAAAATTGAATAAAGATATTACTTTTGCAATAAATCTGTCAAATGTAAATGATTATAAATTATCAGATGCTGATGTTGAAGATGTTATTCAGTACATGAAGAATTCATTAATTGAAAAAGAAGAGAATGACGAAATCAAACAAGAAGAAAATATACTCTCTAAGTATGATAAAGAGGATGACAACGAAAAAATTTCCACACAAATTTCTCAGGATACAAATGATTCTGATCTTTCTACAAAAAATTCTAATTTGCTATATTATAGTTTACCTATAAGTAAATCGGATAATAAAGAAGATAAGCAAATATGGGAAGTGTTAAACAATTTCTTATTAATATATGCTAAAAGAATTAACGAAAGTGATAATAATATTTGTAATGATGAAGAATCTCTCTTGAGAATAGCTTCCAAATGGAAAGAAATACTTAATTTTGAAATAAATTTATTAGATAAGAGGTACAAAGGCATGACTGATCCTATTCATAAATTAGTATATGAAGAACATTTTCTAGCTTTCAAAACTTTTTTTAATGTGCAAAAACGGGCTTTATTATGTATTTTTCCACAAATTCGTAATGACGAAGAAGTACAGGATACTTATACATATTCAGGATCTAATTCAAATAATAATTTATTAGATATGTACAAAGAAATAGAAGATTTCAAAAGTCATTATTATATTTTAGGAACTAAATTTAATGCATTTTTTCCATATCCTATAAATATTGATGATTATATGCCAAATTTAATGATGTCAGACACCGAGATTGAAGAATATCGCAAAGCTTTGCAATATCTTAGAACTTATCAAGATCCCAATGAGAAATTATTGGAAATAATAGATTATACGGCATCTCTGAATAAAATTGAAAAATATGATTTATTCCAAAAAATAAAAGAACAAAATTTGTCATTCACGGATATGAAAATACTCCTTAAAGAAACAGCAGAAAAAAATGTAAAAGCTGAAAAATTAACAAAGGATTTACAATTGTTCGAAAATCTAGTCTCTTTGGAAAATAACGAACTGACTGAGCAAACAGAAGTGTTCGAGGAGCCGATATCTTTGGAAAATCAAGATGATGACGCAGTTCAATTCCAGAAAAATGCAAAAGTGGATATTCCAATCATAAATGTAAGCGGAAAAGATTCAACAAAGGAAGTGCAGGAAATTCAGTTTAATAAAGTTACAGTTATCGATCAAAATAAGCATGCACAAAATACGAAATGTAATGTTTCTATTAATGCAAGCACTGATCAAAAAACAAAAAAAAAGTTGAACAAACGGATGAAGAAGGTAATGAAAAAATATGTAATGTTTCAAGCAAATTGTCATCTGAGAAAGATCTTGCACAACATACTGATACAGTTGCAGTGAATAATCGACAGAAAGTCTCGCCCGATAGTAGCAATATCCAAAAGTCTAACAGAAAGAACATTAATCATAGTAAAGTTCAAAATTTGCAAACTAAATATGCACCTATACAAACGAATAATATTGTTTACAATAATATCGATATGTTTGCCAAAACCGATAAATATGTAAATTCTCATAAATATGATCCAAAGGACAATGCAGATACAAGTAACTCAATGGCCTTTGCACAAGATTCACGAATATTAAATTCACGTGCAAATGTAAATGCAAGGAAAACTCCTCGATCTTCACTGAATTCAGCGCAAAACTTTCGGTCACGAAACGTAAATTCTAATTTATCAAATAAACCATTGGAAGCGTCGTTAAATCAAATCCATCATGATCAATGGAGCGGACATGCAGCAGCGTATCCCTACTCTTCATATACATACACCCAATCATCACTATTTAATCCACAATACTTGGAACATGAAATCGAAAATTATTCTACAAATTTGACTCACGGATTAGGTAATGATTTAGCAAATGACTCGTATAAAACGGATATTGATAGATTCTTATCATCGTTGAGAATGCAGACGAATCGGGTGCATCTCGAGCTTTATAAATCACAAATGTTCGAAAATTGGAGTGCGTATGATTAATAATCGTGTGGAATCGAGCTAATAAGTATGATATGGAGTATTATTTAACTATGTGAGCGAGATTTACATAGATATTGCGAGCGTATTTTCGTCGGATCCTTTCTCACGATGTGTTTATGATCAAGCGGCGGCAAAGAATGACATGTGAATCGATCGATAGCGAAAGGTCACGCATCACTGGTACTTAACACGCATTGGCAAGAGTTGAACTGTGTGCCGGGGGTAACCTTTTCCTACCGATTCGACGCTACCTACGGTTATGCAATCGGATTGATCTTTTGCGATCGGCTCTTGTATAATCTTATCGGCCGAATATTGTCGCTTGACGTAGTAAGGATACTTTATCATGTGTATGTCTTTTTATAAGAATTAATGGTGCCGTTAATGCACATGTAGATATGCATGCACGGGACGTATTTTGTGATTTACTTATCTGGAAATTAATGGAAAAAGAATTACTCTTTTATGTATAAATAAATATCTTTTTTGTATCTCTGTTCTATTATTCTACACTTATAGTTGAAGAAGAAAAATATATCGATCTAATTACATTATTTATATATATATATA